TCAGGAAAGAGAACGTGAGAAGAGAAGGGAGATAGATGCTGAATATGAAAGAAGAAAAGAGCGAGAGCGCAGCATGGATAGAGATAGGAGGCGGGAGAGGGAAATAGATCATATACGAGATAGAGATAGGGATAGAGACAATGAAAGAGATAAGCATAGGGGTAGAACCAGGTATAGTAGTCGAGAGAGGGAGAGACGAAGTGATAAAGATAGAGACAAAGGCAAGGAATTCCAGACTGAAAGGGAGAAGCATAGAAGTCTGGGTGATGGCTACGATGATTCAAAGCATAAGCAGTCTAGGTACTCAAGGCATAGTGCAGAAGATGACTTAGAAACAATAAGGTCGAATTCTGTGAAGGCCCACACTTCTAGGGGTGAGAAGTTAGAAGAAACTAGAGGCACTGGTGGAAGGTATTATTCAACTGAAAGCCTTCTATCGAGAATGTTTTGGTTGTGAAGTCTTTTTCCTTCTAGTATTATCATTTAACTTGGTTTGAGTATCTTATCTATATTACAAACAGGTCCAGATACGAGAATGAGCAAGATGATAATGAGGAAGGAGAAGGAGGTGCTTGGGAACTTCCAGATCAAGAAGAGGAAGAGCTTAATAGAATCAAGGAGGAGAGTAGGAAAAGAAGGCAAGCAATACTCGAGAAATATAAGAAGCAGACAGAGCAGAAAAGTAATTTTTCTGCACAGGATATGGGCAAAGGTAATCTCAATCTTTTGTACTGATCACTATTTAGGACAGCTTGGGCGTGAATTAAAATGGGTCCTTGCGGTTATGTAGGAGTCATGATCTTTTTGTTGTCACGTTCCTCCAAATGCTCCTTTTTATTAGTTTGTATTTGTAGTTGTTGCAATACATTCCTTGAGTTTTTCGCTTTTTCTTCTGGTGTATGTGTGTGTGTGTTACGCAAGCTTCTTAAGTGGTAATTGCCTCTGTTTGTGTCAATCACATATTGTGTATCAAAACCGTCAGTTAGTAGAACTTCGTAGCGAATAAAGTTCCTTTTGACTATGCATGCTAGGGACAAGGTTCATATCAATAGCATGGATCTTACATACAAAACTGCGTCTAGGTTTCATTAGATTTTGTAAATCTGATGGATTGCGTCCCCCCAAGACCCACCTTACTCCTCTTCCCTCTCATTGATACAAATATTTTCCTGATCAGATTCTGAGCTTGCTGGCACTGTTAATAAGCCCTCTAGTGTTGTGCTGAACTCTTTCCAAGAAAGTGATGCTCCAGAGCCCGTCGCTTCCGTAGATGTTGCGGCAGCTGATATTGGTCAAGCTGAAGATGTTACTGACATTGATATTGTTGGTGGTGATGTTGTTAAACAATCATTGGCAGCTGAGCGGTCACCTCCATCGCATTTTATACCGGAGTCCGAGAGGACACTAGCTCCTGCTGGGCTTGGGGAAGGTACCCCAAAGGTGCGTTAGCATAAGAAACCTTGACTGTTTCTTGACATGCCGGGTCATGTTTGGTTGTGAGTAATTTCTTGTTTTTGTGTTTATACTGCCTTTTTCTATTTAATGTTTCTGGGTGCTTATGTGATGATATATGTCCAGAGCGAAAGATCAGCTGACATTTTTCATGATGATATTTTTGGGGACTCTCCTGCTGGCAACCGGAAATTGGTATGTATTCTGTTTGATTTCTTGGCATCTTCTGACCCTGTTGTGGGTACAGATATTCTATCTTATAATCTGCAAATTGATATCTTTTGGCTCCCTACCGAGTTTTACTTTTACCATGATAGGGACCTTTTTTCTTTTGTTTCCTGTTCGCATTCAAGTTACTTGTGCTACTATGCTTACGAAAGTTCTAGTTGGACTGTCTTTAAATTCTCCATTCTCGAGTGCTCGTGGATAATCCTTGTCCCTTGGAAGTAAGATTTCTGTGTGTTTGCATACTAATATTCTTTTCCCCTTATTTTCTCATAATATTTTCATTCTTTAGGCCAAAGGTGATGGTCTTCCTATTGTAAGGAGTGGGCTTCATGATAACTGGGATGATGCAGAGGGTTATTACAGTAAGTATATGTGTGGGACCACCTAGACTCGTTTGTTTATATTTCAATCTCTATAAGAATAATTTGGCCTGTATCTCCATTCTACTCTTGCATTTGCCAAGTGTTTTTTCATTTTTCTAACTCCAAAAGCCCATGTTGTGGTTTCCAGCTTGGAAGTAACGTGTCTTGTTTCCATTTGTAGGCTATCAATTTGGTGAGCTACTTGATGGTAGATATGAAGTTATGGCTACTCATGGAAAAGGTGTTTTCTCTACTGTCGTCCGTGCAAAAGATTTGAAAGCCGGGCCAGGTGAACCTGAAGAAGTGGCTATAAAAATCATCCGCAATAACGAGACAATGTAGGTGGTGCATTCATCTGGCCTTGGCTAATTCTTCAAAATTCTCATAATGTATTTTTTATTTATTGTCTTTATGCTTTTGTGGGTCATGGACTCACATTTTGTCTAGGCATAAAGCTGGTCAGACTGAGGTCCAGATATTGAAGAAGCTAGTTGGGGCTGATCCAGAGAACAAGCGGCACTGTGTTCGTTTTCTTTCAAGCTTTAAGTACAGGAATCACCTTTGCTTAGTGTTCGAGTCTCTCCATTTGAATCTTCGTGAGGTTTTGAAGAAGTTTGGTCGCAACATTGGTCTTAAACTATCCGCTGTTAGAGTGTATGCCAAGCAATTATTCATTGCTCTTAAACATCTGAGGAATTGTGGGGTTCTCCACTGTGATATAAAACCTGACAACATGCTGGTAGGTTATATTTTTCTGTGATTTTTCTTCTGTTTGATGCACACCTTCTGACATCTAATTATTCCTTGATTGCGCAGGTGAATGAAGGAAAAAATGTGTTAAAGCTCTGTGACTTTGGTAATGCGATGTTTGCTGGCAAAAACGAAGTTACTCCATATCTCGTCAGCCGCTTTTACCGTGCTCCTGAAATTAGTAAGTGTTGCTCTTCTGGTTATTGACTGTTTGGATTATTGGTGAATATTTTTTTATTGATTGTTGCATATGTTATTGAAGCACGTCTGTCTTTTTTGTTGGTGCAGTTCTTGGACTTACCTATGATCACCCTCTAGATATTTGGTCCGTTGGTTGCTGTTTATATGAGCTTTACAGTGGCAAAGTTCTCTTCCCTGGTCCTACAAACAACGATATGTTACGCCTTCACATGGAACTGAAAGGTCCCTTCCCAAAAAAGATGCTTCGCAAGGTTAGCTATACAAATGAATGGCGTTTTAATATATTCATCTTGGATTCGATTCCTTTTCTAATGAAAGCCTTCTTACTGGTTATATTAGGCTTTTCTGATTGAAAGATGAAGATTAGGTTCTCGTCGCGTGAACACAAACTTTTCTGTTGGTTTGATGCCTGTATTCTTTTCTTAACAGGGAGCATTTACGGAGCAGCACTTTGATCAGGACTTGAACTTTCATGCTACAGAAGAGGACACTGTTACTGGGAAGGTACCGATTCATTCCTTGCTGTTTTCTGAATTTGTCAATTTTGAATTATTGTCAAATGGAGGGTGAGTGATCAATCGACCTTTTCTTTTTCAGACTATAAAGAGAATGATTGTAAACGTAAAACCAAAAGATATTGGTTCGATTATTAAAGGCTATGCTGGCGAGGATCCTAAGATGTTAGCTCAGTTTAAGGATCTCTTGGACAAAATCTTCATCCTTGATCCTGAGAGGAGACTGACAGTGTCACAGGCATTAGCTCACCCATTCATCACGGGCAAGTGAACCATGTTGCTGATTTTTTTTTAGTCGAGAAATGCTGTTGCCCTAGATATCTGTACATTACATCTTAATAATATTAATCGTAATCAAGACTCTAATCTTTGGATTGTCTCTATCTTCTCTCTGCTGCCTGAGAGCTTTGATTACAATGCCCACAATTGGGGGTGAAAGGGGATGATGTTTGGGAGGAGTTCTCATAACTGGCGATACTCAGTGGAATTTACTGGTTCTATTGTAAGACAACCTGCCCAAAGGCATTTTCTTTTCTTTTCATTTCTTTTTACTGCTGTAAACATCATCAATTATGGTCATTGTAGAAGTTTGTGTTTTCATCTGAATAAGGAGAGACATTCATGATTTCTGATCCAGCAGCTTTTTCAGTTTTTTGATATTTTATTATTTTCACCGGAAGCTTGAGTCTTTTATGTGGATTGAATTTGCTTAATTCTCTTTTTTACTCCTGGAGGACCTGATGCTGTTTTCCATTCAGGACATATGCCAAGACTTAGAGACAGTCCTAAAGTCTTTCAATGCTTTAAAGGCACGCGGGAGAAGGTACAATGGTTGTTTATTGGGAAGTTATGCAAAATGATTTGATGATCATTTTGCAGCTGTATCTGTCTGGATTAGGCTGTGGACAAAAATGTTACTGTGGTGTTAAAGTTAGTTTCCATTTCATTGTCCATGTTTTGCCTGTGTCCCCCCTTTTTTTTTAAAGTTTTCCAACAATTTCTGAAGTATAGTTCTTCTTCACCGGTTTCTTTTCCTCTGGTCGCTGTGGCTGCTATATTTCCACTTGTTTTATTTGTTACTTTCAAGTACTCTTGCATTTGATGAATTGCATTGCATCTGATATGTTGTATTGTCATTCCGGAGGTTTTGCTCGGAGGGGAAGCTGGCACCGGAAAAAAAAATACAGGTATAGCGATTCCTTAATGTCTGTGTGCCTTTTGACTATCACTGTAGTTTCCTTTTTCATCTCTCCTCCTGTTTCATTTTGCTGATTGAGACTTTACTTCTTTTAGGCTGCTTCATCCTATGGTTTTTGGAAGATTGGTAAGACTTTTAAGCTTTATGTCTTGCATGACCTTTTGTGCAGCTGCATCCTTTTTTTTCCTTAGGTAGATATGCTTCTTTCAATCTTTTGGGTAATTTCAATTGGAAAAGTAGAGAAGGTAGTAATAGGAGAGAGGAAGAGAGCTAGTGGTAGATCCAAGCTCACTTGGAAACAAGTTATTAGTAATGATTTGAAGCGATTATAAATATCGGGGAACTTAACCCAAAATCGGAATGAGTGGGAATGGAGAATCCATGTGGCTGACCCCAAATATAAGATTGGGATTAAGGTGATGTTGTTGTAGTAGTATGTATTTTCATGATACTGTGGAACACTTGCACAAGCCTGTGGCGAAATGCGTTGCTTCTGTAATTCTATGAAGTTAAGGGAGCTGCATACTTTCGTGATAAAAATAAAGCACGTCAGGGGCAGATATTTGGGCATTTATAGTGGTGGACGTCTGATATGGAATACTAGGGACCAGAATTTGGCTGCAGTGCTTGATCGGTAATGTGGAAAATGGCTTGGTCGGTAGTTTGAATGAATTTGTGCACAGGGTGTTAATTCCTGTTTTATCCATCATGCTTTTGCAACATGAAGGGTCCTGTCGTGTTGTCCTCGTGTGTTAAATTTAAGTTTTTAGGACACACTAGTAGATTTAGGTGTGAGTCATGGAGAAGCATGTTATAGATCTGCAAATGTGCAACTCGTTAGTATTCATTCATGTGATGTGGGGTAGATTTTTTGTTTTTTAAAAAAGTATGATGTTCGTGCGTTAATGTTTTTCCTTTTGTCCGTTTTTTTTTTAAAAATAAAATCTTATCGAGGTGATATAATCTTTTCTCAATTGTGTGAATGGTCACTGAAGGTGTTTGTGTGTGTATATTAATGGTTATGCATATACATGAACAAGACCATCCCCAGTGCCTTGTGGACTGAGCGTCAGCCTCATTCTTGCGAATTTAGATGTCTGAATTCAGTTCCTTGATGGGCGAGAAGAAACAATCGCCAATCGCCTCTTTCGCATTAAAAATTTCACGGCAAATAACAAACGGAAAGAATCAGCCAGAGGCAAGGAGCGGACATGGGTAAAGAAATATTGTGGGTTCCAGCTTGAAGGTCTAGTGTAATCCAAATGTACAAAAAAGTCAACCAATGGTTGACGTGGAATCCAACATTTTCAATCCATATTTTTTAGTAACCAATATTTTTTTACCTAAATTTTTTTCCCTCCAAAATTTTTCAACCCAAAATTTTTTTCCTCCAAAATTTTTCAATCTAAAATTTTTACCTATCAATAGTTTTCACCCCATATGTTTAGATATAAAATAAACATAAAACATTATATCATAATACAAAATTCTGTAAATTTATAATAAACAAACAAAAAATCATAACAAAAAGAAATAAGTACATGACATAAATAAATTCTTGATTTTACTTCTGAACACTTCCATTAACAAATATGGCAGCTGTCAGCTGCTCACGCATTTTGGTGACATTATCATCACATATAGTTGTTGTTCTTCTTAATCTTGTCCTTGTTCTTGTTCTTCTTCTGCTCACTCGTCTTCTACTTATTTTTCATCTATCAGACTTTTTCCCTTCTTCTTAGAAAACTTTCTCGAACGAATTTTCAAGTCATGAACTCGACGACGTCAATTCCTCCAAATAAAAAAGAAGTGCTTCTTCAAACGTTTTCAAACGTTTTTTTATTTATCATACTCTTAATTTTCTGAAAATAGATGTGACTTTATGTTATTATATTCAACCAAGTGACCATGACACCAACAGACTATGTGATCATGTCATCAAGACACCATGTGACCATGTGAACATGGTACCATGTGACCATGTGAATATGATACCATGAGACCATGCCAATATGGTACCACGTGACCATGCCAATATGGTACCATGTGACCATGTCAATATAGTACCATGTGACCATGTGAACATGATACCTTGTGACCATAAAACATGTGACCAAGTGACCATGCGTGAGCTAAATCATCCTATAAACTGTGATATTTTCACTTTGTGACTATACAATTATGTGACCTAAATCAATATATTATTGTTCACCCAAACATCGACCCATACATCCATAACTTTAAGTTTGAAATCTCAGAAATTTCAAAAAACAATACCCTAAGTTTCTATCCGTCAAATCTCAACCCCAATACTTCAATTCAACATTAAATATTGCCAAAATCCAACAAATCTCGCAAAAAAAAAGAAGTAACCTACCACATGTTCGTCTAACTCTGCAATTCGTATTCGGTTTTTGGTCTCGGTCGAAGATGCCGATGAAGTTGAATATTGGGTTGATGTCGAAGTCATTTTTTGTTGTCTTCTTCGATTCTTCTTCTTCTTTGAGTTTTGAGTCTTAAGAGAGTTAAAGAGAGGAAGATTCTGCAGAGAAATCAGATTTAAATCTATAAGACATCGACGATTTTGATAGAAAGACAGAAGAGATAGTGAGAATTAGGAGAGAGAAAGAAGATCGTGGGGTTGAGCTAGGAGAGAGAAGATAAAATAGTTTTTTTTTAATTCACATGTAATACTTTATCGGTAGGAGAGAGAATATAAAATAGTTTATTTTTTATATTTTAAATTCAGACAGCGTACTTTTTCGTTTTTATATATTTGTGTGAGGGTTAATATGTCTTTTTCAATATTCAATCATTTTATTTTTTAATTTGGATTTTTAAGGGTATGTTAAGAAGTCATTGAAGCAGTCAAATGATAGATTGGATATATCCCGTGTAATATATATATATATATATATATATATATATATAATATATATATAAAAATTGGGGTTGAGTCAGTGCTCCCAAAGGATGGGCGGAAACCTTTGATATGAGCTTTTTGGGCTCTTATTATGGGCCATTGACAGACTTAAATATTGGAACAGCATCAGTTGATTTCAGGCGCGTCAAAAAGCGCGTGAGCTCAATCGATGAACTCGAAAATTCTGTGCGCAGACAAAGCGCGTGGAATCATTTGTGCTAAATTATTTAAACTATGGAGAATCGCCGTAAAATATCTGTATTTTTCTCTAGTCTCAATTTAATACCTCTACTTTTTTAATTACTGAATAATATCTGTACAATTGGTTTTTCTCTAAATAAATCCTATACTTTTAAATTATTGGCCAAAAAATACCTACCGTCAAATAACAGTCACATAGACTCTACGTAGCGGCGAAATTCTCAACCTCTCTCTTAATCATCGCGCCATGTCATCGCCACGTCAGAAATTAAATAAAAAATAAATAATTAATAATTAATTAATAATAATAATTAAATAAATAAATAAAACTCATAAAATAAATAATAAATATATATATATATACACATACATATATATATATATATGCATATATACAGACGTATATAAATATATACATACACATATATACATATATACATACATATAAACACACATATATATACCATATATAAATATATATATATACATACACATAAATATATATATATATATATATATATAATAAAAATATATATATACATACACATATACACATACACATTATATACACATGTTTATATATGTTGGAGTTGGATATAGATATACATGTATATACATTTATATATTTATATGTATGTATATATATGTAGCATGTATATGTATATATATTATTTATATATGTATTGGTATATATATGTGTGTATGTATATATATATGTATTTATATATATATATGTATATGTATATGTTGTATATATATGTATGTATATATATGTGTATGTATGCATATGTATATATGTATATATATGTGTATGTATAATGTATATGTATATATATACGAATGTATATGTATATATATGTACGTTTATATATATATGTATTAATATATATATATATATGTATGTGTATTGATATGTATGTATATATATGTATATATGTATATGTATATATTTATATACGTATATATATACATATATGTATATATATATATGTATGTGTATATATATATATTTATTATTTATTTTATGATTTTTATTTATTTAATTAATTATTATTATTAAGTAATTTATTTTTTATTTATTTTTTATTTAATTTTTGATGTGGCGATGATATGGTGCGATGATTAGGAGAGAGGTTGGAAATTTCACCACCATATAGGATTTCCGTTTGTCTACGTGACGGTTATTTGATGGTATGTATTTTTTGACCAATAATTTAAAAATATATGATTTATTTGGAGAAAAACCAATTGTACAGATATTATTCAGTAATTAAAAAAGTACAAATATTAAATTGAGACCAAGAAAAAATATAGGTATTTTACGGCGATTCTCCCTTTAAAAACTATTATTCTACATTAAACAAAAAAGTAATTTAATGTAAGCCGAACCATGACAAACAGTAGAGAGATCGGTTCAATTTCTTTTTAAATTGGACCGGCTTAGGCCACGTGAAGCCGGAACCCTAAAAACTACGTCGTTTTACAAACCGTTCGTGGCAAAACTAGAGGACACGTAAGAATCACAGCGTCCAGCGAGTGGATAACGAAGGGACGATGATGATTTTGGTAACTTCGCCGGCGGCGAGATTTCACGGTCACCGCCCGCTCCTTCCGCCGCAAAGCTGCCGCCATTTTGGACGGAGCTTTGAAATCTCAGCCTTCGATCGGTGCAAACCATGGCCCATAGTAGATCGCTGCAATGTACGGACACAGGAGAGACTCGGTTACAGTGAGAAGTGCCTGGTTCGTCGGAGGCCGGAGACGGAGGAGGCGGTGGAGGGAGAAGATGATAGCCTACGGGGAGTTCTACGGTATCTTCTGTGGACCGTAGAAGCTGTGTATATACTTTGGCTCTTTCTTCTTCCTTATGCCCCTGTACGTGGTTTCTCCTTAATTTTTTTTATAGTTTTTTTCTGTACTGATTAGAGTCTTAATCACATCAATAGTTTGGTTTATGCACTTATGGGGTGTGTTTTTTACTCGTGGATTCAGAATCGAATTGGCTAATCTGATTGGGGGAAACCTAGATTTATCAAAACCATAGATTCCGGTTCTGTGTATATTCTTAAAACAAAATCGGATTTTAAGGGAATTTTCAAAGTTTGAAGATCCTCTGTTACTGAATTCTGTGAAAGATTTCAAAATTGATGAATCGTTCTCTGTGGTTGCATTTTGCTATTCTCCAGTATATACATACATACATACATACATACATATATGTATGTATGCACTTGTATATTGTATGGATTTACATGTGCACACTCGTTTTCACAACCATCTTTCTTCGTTGTTGGTAACAGGGAGATCCTGTTTGGGCAATTAGTTCGGAGACATTGAAATCTCTGGTGGGGCTTTCTTTGAATTTCTTCTTTGTATTGCCTCTTGGAAATTCGGGTATTGTTTTAATTCAATCTTCTTCTCTTTTTTTTTTATCAATAGATCATCGTTAATCCCACCATTGACGAGCTTTTTTTGTTGCAGAGCAGCTGGTGTCCATTTTCTTGAAGCTCCCATTCTCCATCCAGTAAGTATATTCACCACAGTTCAAACAGGCTTTTCCATGTTGTCTCTCGTGTAAGAGATTGTGAGATTTTATTTTATTTTTTTTAAAAAGTTTTTTTTTATGCTGAAAGATTCGATTTTTCTGTGGCGAAACATCAGATGTCTGAAGGGTTATTCAACTTCGTGGTGGCATGGACGCTGATGTTTGCGCCATTGATATACACAGACGGGAAGAGAGATCGATACAAAAGCTCTCTCGATATCTTGTGGGGCCTCATGATGTTCCTCACAAACAGTACGTAACTTCCCTCTGTACATACTCCATGAAACTTTTTACTTGGTTTTTTGAAGAAGAGCAGGGATGGGCGTTCTTACCGAGACCCGCGGGGTTTCGGGTATACTCCCACCACGGGTACTCGCCATGCCCGAGATCGGGAAACGCGTGCTATGTGGCAAGAAACTCGGACCGTGAGTTGGGGTTGGGGTTTTTCCGTACTATGACGGGTCATCTCTGGGGTAACCGAATATGAGCGAAATTACACTTATATCCCTGTTATTTCATCGTATTTACAATAACACTTGGTCTATTTCATGTAAAATTACCGATATACCCCTAAAACCAAAAAACCTCCGAGGCGGAGTCAGGATATCCAAAACTCGGAGTACCTACCTGTGCCCACCCTAATGGCATTTTCCCATCAAAGATCTAACCCGATATTCTTGGCGATGAAACAGCGTTTCTAATACCGTACATGGCCATCCGGCTAAATGACCCCGACCCAGATGACAAACCGAGCAAAAGATCTCGGCTGGGGGACCTCATGACGAATGGGGCAGCCATAGTCGGCCTGACAGGTGCTGCAGTGTGTATGATATCAGCGTTCTGGGGTCTGTACGGCCGGTCGGACGGAGGTTTCGGGGGTGTGACGGACAGATGGCAGTACCTGATTGGTTACTTGGGATCGGAGAGATTGGCGTATGCGTTCATATGGGATATCTGTCTCTACACAATCTTTCAGCCATGGCTGATTGGGGATAACCTGAGAAACGTGAAGAAGAAGAACAAGAAGGAGTTGGTTAAGTATCTTAGATTTGTTCCTGTCGTGGGATTGGTTGCTTATCTCTTGTTTCTCAGCGTCGATGATGAAACACTGTAAAACCGTTGTGTATTATTCGCACGTGTCTTTAATATATGTAAAACTGAATTAATGCAGACTACGTTTCGTCAATCTCCTCAAAGGACAGTGTAAAATATTTATATTATATTCAAAGGTTATAATAGGACAGAAAAAAAAATGGAACATTAAACCACGTAAAATGTTAGAGAAAATCACATGTAAATTATATATATATATATATGAATTCCTAAAAAGTTCAGAGTAAAATTAAAATATATGAACTAAAATAATTATATATCAGTACAGGAAAACGCTTTTATAAAAGTTTTTTTGCTTTCCATTTTTTTCTTTTCAAATAGATTTATCTTCTTTTTTTTTTTAATCCCGAGAAAAAAATAGATGATGGGAGATATAGATAGATGGAAGAACAGGTAAGCCTTAATAATCTTTCTGACTCAAAAAAGGTGTTTGCATATTAAGAGAATCCTTTTTGTAGTCAATTGTTGTATAATGCCATGTCATATGATTTGAACTGATAAATGAAAGAATAGTACTTCGTATTACAAGATTGGTGCAACCGATAAAGAAGAAAATAAAACTCTTTTTCAACTCGGGTTTGAATCTTCGTTTGGAGAGAGATATTCACGTAACTTTGTTTGCCCCTACGTCCGTTTACATTTATACTCGGCAGCAGGGGCGGACCTATTCATTTTGCAATGGAGTCACAAGCCACATTGCATTGTTTTTTTTTAAAAAAAAAATCTTTATAAAATTTATAAATATTTTTAAAAAATGATTAAACGACCCATTATAAAATTAAATTTGTCACTATAAAATTTATTGTTGCCCCTAATTACAAATTTTTCTGGGTCACAGTCCTTTTTGTTGCCAGCCACCGAGAATTTTGTGGAATAGTACGACTTGCAATTCTGTGAGTCCATTTCCCTTGTTGGCCAGTCAGTTCGTGATTTTTTTTTTTTATTACTACAAGCCCTATTAATATTATCCACTGTTGTCCGACCACGGACAGTAGTGACAACAGTGTCCATTGTTGTTAGACCACGGACGTTAGGGTTTTTTTTTTCTTCCATGCAGGAGCTGATGATCTTTTTCGTTTTGCGGAATGATCTTTTCTGGGTTTTTCCTTGATGATTATATGAAAGTATTTATACGCATAGAGCTTGCTTCTAAAATCTAAAGTTCCAAGTAAATTATTTAAATATAGTCGAATAAAAAAAATAGCAATATTATTTACCCAAAAAAAAGAAGAAAAAAAATCAGTTTCAGTGGCCTGTATATATTTGATAACCAGGATGGTTACCCAAACCTTCGCCCCGACTACATCCACTCCAGGTCCGTAACCAGTTTTTGTATATGGACCCTTTTGATCCAGAAATTACACCCCCTCCCCACCAATAGAATCGAATCCAAGATTATGAGAATAACTTTGTCACCTTTCGGTCATTGGATCACCAACTGTTGGGTGACCCGTATATATTTGCATATCTAAATCCAAATTCAATCCAAAGCATCGTCGGATATGGCAACTTAATAGATGAAACACGAGCAACATTTGAGAATCCACAAGGAAACAGAAACAGAGTATACTGGCGCTTGTAATTTCTGGTTATTTGGTTCAAGTCTTTTTATTGATGCGTTGGTTCAAAGTTTGGAACGTGAATCTGATGTCGGTTGCTGCAGTTTTATTACCGTTTTCTATGGATAAGCACTTAGGTTTTGTGTGCGCAAGTGATGTTGCTGTAAGATTTTTTGTTGCAGACTTTAATTTTTGTGAATTTGTGTAATGTGTAATAAATGGTGTTCACAGTAATAATACTAACAATAATTTTATTTGAATAAATTCATAAAATGAAGAAAAGGTTTTAATGGTGAGTGTATCCACCGTCCCACGTGAACTCTGCGCGAGGAGATAGTTGAAGGGATGTTGTCATATGCGCTTGAACGCACTGGTTTTGGTTTGTTTGATAACATGTAAGAATATATATATATATGTCTGAATAATAAAACAAAAACATATTTATGAATAATTGAAAATGATGTCTAAAATGCATATGCTTGAAGATTAATCATCCAAGACTGGATTTTTTTTGTCCAAAATATAAATTCCTCCATTTTGATTTAAAATGTTAACACTAGCTGATTTCTGTAATTTCAAATCATCGATCATGGTGAAAGTTTTTAAATTAAATGCGAATATCAAAAGTGGTTGTACAAATAGTAATGCATGTCCAACTCTTGTCGTTTTTCTTAATGGGGTTTGTATTTGTGTATTCTTCCTAGTTAGGTAGGACCAACCATTGGTAGCTACACGAGATAAGAGGGATGATCACGATGATGCTGTTCCTATGTTCTTGATGTTTTCACTAATACATACGTACATGTGTATATATATATATATATATCATGAGGGTGAACATTTCGGTATTCGGTTCGAATCGGAAATGGTTCGGTTCTTTCGTTTTTATAAAAAATAGATATCAATCGATTATTATATTATATTTGGTTGGATTCGATTCCAATTTCGATTCAGTTCGTTTTTAAAAAAAAAAAATTAGATCTTTAAAAAAAAATCAAGTTTTCAGATTTTTTAGAAATTCTGTTCGATTCCAAAAAAAATTGTTTTTTCTAAATTTAATATCTTTGAAAATTTTAAATAGTTCAGAAATTCTATACTTTTTGGTCGGTATAGGTCGATTTTTAGAACCGAACCGCAACATTCACGGCGGAACCGTATGTTAGCGTGTAACGTGGTGTAATGGAACATGGTGCAAAATTTATGACCCCTTATTTAAAATAATTAATTTTTTTAATAATATACAAGTATTAAAATTATTTCTTAATAATGAAATAATCAGTTTTAATATGAGTAATTCACCTTTATCAAATAAATTCAAATAGTTTATAACCATTACCAATAAATAACAATAAGAATATTTATGAAATATTAAAAATCTTTAACAATAAAAAATCAGTTATTTTTTATGAGTAGCAAGATGCACTATAAAAACACAAGAAGTGAGGCATTTAACTCATTTATATATTTAATTAAGCATATTTCTATACGTTTTTTTCAAAATAATATAATATTTGATTTTTTATTTTTTTTAATTAATTTTATTATAGAAATTAATTGATCAAAATTTTGTAGAGGCCCACCAAAATTTGTGGGACCGACCTGATATTGACACACATACATATACAAGGTTGCAAGAGGAGAACGACACGAAGAAACACGTGGACGCACGTGGTCATGCATGAGGAGACTAGCTAGCATTTTGTCACCGTACTTATTAGGGGTGGTCGTTTCGGTAAACGGTTCGGGTTCAGGACGGAATGAATCAGTTCGGTTCTTTCGGTTTTATAAAAATAGGTATCAATCGAGTTTTTTATTGTATTCGGTTCGGTTCGGTTTCGGGTTTTATTAAAAAATGATAGATTTCCTTTAAAAATATTCGGTTTTTCGGGATTTTTTAAATTCGGTTCGGTTCCGAAAAAACTCGATTATCTGAAAATGGTACCGTTCGAGAAATAACAGCGGTTTCGGATCGAAAAAATTACTGTTTTAACGGTTCGGTTCGGTCCGGTTTCGAAGAACCGAACCGAAATGTCCAGCCCTACCGGTGAGGCCGCTATTCATAAATAATGCTTCACAAGCAGCGCATATAATATATATATGACAAAAATAAAACACAAATTCCTTCGCAAGAACCCAACGAATGGTTAAAAAAAAAATCTTCAATGGCGTTGGTGAATAATATATTGCGATTCACAACCATATAATATACTCACCCTAACAAAATTGTAATCGACAAGAAGAACCATGTTGGGTGTTGAGACACACCTCAACCACCGACATAAAAATAAGAATAAATAAATAAATTTTATTTGAATCCTAGCCACTCAAATTATTTTACTACATAATAAAGTTTGCTACACGTACGCATATACATACATATACACATGTATATATATGCCATGTGATATCGTCTATATAAGTAGGTCCTCGAGATCACTTTGTTTCCATAATTCCTTCGAGTTTCTTTTTCTCTAAAAAAAAACTATGTATACGATTAGTGGCGGATCCAGAAATTTTTTTCAACGGGGGCAACAAATATAAATATGATATAAAATATAAAAAACTAATAAAAATATATTATCAGAAAAATATTTTTCATTATATAGCTAAATTCTCCGATCTTTCATTTTTTTAAATCTATTCCTAACAACTTCATTTATAATTATCTCAAACATATTTTTTTCGATAAAACAAATTAGAAAATCACTCAAAGGCTGATCACCAATCCGATTACGCAAAGTTATTTTAACATGACTAAAAACTGTCATATAAATGAGCAATTTTGAATTTATTCCGTTAAATAGATCATTAAATTTTGGACACTGTAAATTTTTTTGAGAAATTTCTCAATAGATTTCTCTGTTAAATCAATTATGAGATTTGTATAAAAACAAATTTATTAATATGATAGATATTTAGAAATAAATGAATAAAAGATAAAAAAAATATTTAAAATAAAATCCAGAATACTTATATATTTTTGTTGGTTTTAGTTTTTTGGATTTTAGAAAAAAAAATTGAAAAAAAAAAGATTTAGGGTTAAAAAAATGAGGGGGCACCATTTCATTTTTAATGGGGGCATTGTTATAATTTAATTAAAACTATAAGTAATATTTCTTTTTTTTAAAATGTGAATGGGGGCATGTGCCCCCACTTATGTGCAAGTAGATCCGCCCATGTATACGATGCATATTCGGAGAAGAAGAGAAAGAAAAAGGAAACGTTGGAAGAAGAAATCTACCGTACTAGTTCGGTAATTTAATTTTATAGCCATGTTAGTCATTTCTATGTATTTACTCAGAATGATATATATATATATATATATATATATTCAAAGTTAAAAACCTTATTATACCAAAGACACGGATCTAAAGAATACAATTTTCCCAATCATTACATGTGCATGGTTACAAAGTTTGTTAAGTAGTGCCTATAAAATTTTGTAATGGCAGAGGAAGATATGGAAACCCTAGAAAGAGTAAGATATGAAAATCAATCGTAAGCAATGCATACATACATGCAAAAGTTTACGATCTTAACAATAAAATAATATATATATATATATATATATATATATATATAGTTTACATCTAATATTCTTCTTTATAATTTGTTTTACAGGTTGGTGAGACCAAAAACATTTGTGGAATACTCATTTGAGCAAGGATAGTAACACGAGATGAGGGTATCGAAGGAAGAGGATCATAAACACGGATAAGGCCTCGACCTCGATCCTTCATTTCTAATTGTAACATCAACCGCGCGCATTCCGGAAAACGTTACAATTTTTTCTAGTTTTTTTTTATTTCTCATTGTAGTTATCTATTGATTTTTCAGTTTCAATATATTGTGATTTCACAATAAGAGGATTTCCAATTTGTAAAACTAGTTTCAAGGAATTATATATTTGCATACAATGTTGATCGATTATCTTTATTGTAATTATATGAACAATTGGGTTTAGTTGCACTTAATTTTTGGATGGTGATTGTGAGATTCTTTTTACATGAATATATATATATATATATATATATATATATATATATGGTATTATTGCTTATTAAAATGTTGATGAACTTGATTCTATATATGGACAAGCCGAATAGTGGAATGAAATCGACTTTTCCTCCATCAGTTGTCGGTCCAATGATTGAATAAATACTCTTGTGCAGTATCTCAAATTATCAATTAAAGAACCGTCAATAATTAGCAAATGGCAACCACCTTTCCATTTTGTCGTATGCTTCGCTTATTGGGCTCGTTTGATTCAAAAGCCCATATTTAAATAAAATCCATATTGGGCTGTTTCCTTTCAAGCCCATGGGCCTATTGATGCTATGAATCATTGAATTGAACCTTCGTCTTCTTTGACTTCTTCATCGATTTTTTTTTTTTTGGGTTAAATTAAATTTTATTCAGCAAAACCTTGTCTAAGAAGAAACACGAAAGGATGAAATTTGCGAGAAAATGGTAAGCAGATTCCTCAACACCAGCACTCTCGCGTTGCTCTCTTTGATTCCTGTATAAAAAAACCCTACTCCATTTCTATTGTCCACTGATTGATTCACAATCGGATTCGGAAACCCTCCCCCCCCCCCCCCC